TGTCTCTCTTGATCTTTGTTGGTTTAAAGCCTGTTTTGTCAGAGACAAGGATTGCAACGCCTGCCTTTTTTTTTTTATTTTCTATTTGCTTGGTAGATCTTCCTCCACCCCTTTATTTTGAGCCTATGTGTGTCTCTGCACATGAGATGGGTCTCCTAAACACAGCACACTGAGGGGTCTTGACTGTTTATCCAATTTGCCAGTCTGTGTCTTTTAATTGAGGCATTTATCCCATTTACATTTAAGGTTAATATTGTTATGTGTGAATTTGATCCTGCCATTATGATGTTAGCTGGTTATTTTGCTCGTTAGTTGATGCAGTTTCTTCCTAGCATCAATGGACTTTACAATTTGGCATGTTTTTGCTGTGGCTGGTACCGGTTGTTCCTTTCCATGTTTAGTGTTTCCTTCAGGACCTCTTGTAAGGCAGGCCTGGTGGTATCGAAATCTCTCAGCATTTGCTTGTCTGTAAAGGATTTTATTTCTCCTTCACTTAAGAAGCTTAGTTTGGCTGGATATGAAATTCTGGGTTGAAAATGCTTTTCTTTAAGAATGTTGAATATTGAACCCCACTCTCTTCTGGCTTGTAGAGTTTCTGCTGAGAGATCCACTGTTAGTCTGATCGGCTTCCCTTTGTGGGTAACCCGACCTTTTTTTCTGGCTGCCGTTAACATTTTTTCCTTCATTTCAACCTTGGTGAATCTGACAATTATGTGTGTTGAGGTTGCTCTTCTCAAAGAGTATCTTTGTGGCATTTGTATTTCCTGAATTTGAATGTTGGCCTACCTTGCTACGTTGTGGAAGTTCTCCTGGATAATATCCTGGAGAGTGTTTTCCAGTTTGGTTCTATTATCCCCATATCACTTTTAGGTACACTAATCAAATGTAGATTTGGTCTTTTCACATAGTCCCATATTTCTTGGAAACTTTGTTCATTTTTTTTTTTACTCTTTTTTTCTCTAAACTTCTCTTCTTACTTCATTTCATTCATTTGATCTTCAGTCACTGATACCCTTTTTTCCACTTGATCCAATCGCCTACTGAAGCTTATGCATGCATCACGTAGTTCTTGTGCCATTGTTTTCAACTCCATCAGGTCATTTAAGTTCTTCTCTACACTGTTTATTCTAGTTAGCCATTTGTCTAATCTTTTCAAGGCTTTTAGCTTATTTGCGTGGGTTCAAATATCCGCCTGTAACTTGGAGAAGTTTTTTATTACTGATCTTCTGAAGCCTACTTCTGCCAACTTGTCAAAGTCATTCTCTATCCAGCTTTGTTCCATCACTGGCGAGAAGCTGCGATCCTTTGGAGGAGAAGAGGCGCTTTGATTTTTAGACTTTTCAGCTTTTCTGCTCTGGTTTCTCCCCATCTTTGAGGTTTTATCTACCTTTGGTCTTTGATAATGGTGACCTTCAGATGGGGTTTTGGCGTGAAGGTCCTTTTTGTTGATGTTGATGCTATTCCTTTCTGTTTGTTAGTTTTCCTTCTTACAGTCAGGACCCTCAACTACAGGTCTATTGGAGTTGACTGGAGATCCACTCCAGACCCTGTTTGCCTGGGTATCACCAGCAGAGGCTGCAGAACAGCAAATATTTCAGAAAAGCAAATGTTGCCGCCTGAGCCTTCCTCTAGAAGCTTCATCTCAGAGGGGCACCCGGCTGTATGAGGTGTCAGTCAGCCCCTACTTCGAAGTATCTCCCAGTTAGGCTACTCGGGGGTTAGGGACCCACCTGAGGAGGCAATCTGTCCGTTCTCAGATCTCAAACTCCATACTGGGAGAATCAGTGCTCTCTTCAGAGCTGTCAGACAGGGACGTTTAAGTCTGCAGAAGTTCCTGCTGCCTTTTATTCAGCTATGCCCTGCCATCAGAGGTGTAATCTACAGAGGCAGGCAGGCCTGGTTGAACTGCAGTGGGCTCCACCCAGTTCGAGCTTCCCAGCCGCTTTGTTTACCTAGTCAAGCCTCAGCAATGGTGGATGCCCCTCCCCAAGCCTCGCTGCAGCGTGGCTGCAGCCTCGCAGTTCGATCTGCTGTGCTAGCAGTGAGCAAGGCTCTGTGGGCGTAGGACCTGATGAGCCAGGCATAGGATATAATCCCCTGGTGTGCCGTTTGCTAAGACCATTGGAAAAGCACAGTATTATGGCAGGAGTGTCCCGATTTTCCAGGTACCACGTTTCATGGCTTTCCTTGGCCAGGAAAGGGAATTCCCCCACCCCTTTGCTTCCCCAGTGAGGCAATGCCTGCTTCGCCTCACACTCTGTGGGCCGCAACCACTCTCTGACAAATTCTAGTGAGATGAACCCAGTACCTCAGTTGGAAATGCAGAAATCACCTGTCTTCTGCGTGACTCACGCTGGGAGCTGTAGACTGAAGCTGTGCCTATTCGGCCATCTTGGAATGATCTCCATTATTTTTAGTCCAAGGAACTTACGGGACTTTAAGGGCTTTAAAGGCGTTAAGAAAAGTTTGTAAATAACACACAAAGAGAAAAATGCTAAAATGCTATGTAGGAGAGTTTAGAGGAAGGTAGAATTACTTGTTTTTGAGAGAGAATCCGTTATAGATTCTACCAGGAAGAAGGCTAAACTTTGAAATATGGATAAGGTTAGATATGTACAAATGGGAAACATGTTTTTTATTTGTAGCAGTGGCTCAAAGTACGTAAAGAATATATATGGAAAAGCACTATACTTTTAAGAGGATCCAATTTGTCTAATATTGAATGGGAAGTATGTAGAAATAAAACAGGAAGACTTGGTTGGAATGAGATCACTGAGGGCCTTCAGTGCAGTTTTTATATGTATATTCAAATATAAATCCACATTTACGAATATAATAAACACATTTTATTTTTTTTTAAAAAGCTGTGACTATTTTTTCTATGCTGTTGAATGTATGCCAGAGGAAGGGTTATAACTTTTTACTGAATTGTGTGTAGCTACTGTTAACTTCAGAAACATTTTTCTTATGAATGCTGATGTCCAGCTTTTAGTCATTTATTCTTTTTAAAATTTTTCTTCATGATAAAAGAAATACATACTCAGTCTTTTTAAAAAGTTTAGATTCTGCAGGAAAATAGAAAGAAAAATGGTCATCTGTACTCAAACATTTGCATTTGGTGTATAGTATTTACTTTTGAAAACATTTTTAAGTGGAACACAGAATAACAAGAGGTAGGTTTTTTTTCTGCTTGGATAATTTAGAACTGATAAACTGTTGGCTTCGCTACTTCTATTTATCTTCTGTGTTAGTTTGAGAAACAATTTTAAATATTTGACTAAAATCTTAAGTTTTCATTTAATCAGAATGTATTGGTTTGAGGTCACTTGAAAGTGGAGTGTATTTTTCAGTTTGTAAAACTGAAAAAAGGTAACTCATTTGTTATTTTAATTCCAGAAGCGTGTTCATTTTATTTTTTAAACTGCATAAAACGTTTTAGAGAGATATAAAATCTTCAGTAAGAAGAAAAATTTTCTCCCACTTAACTATGAAGAGTTGTGGTAATTTGGCATTATCAGCATACATACAGTTATGTTTGCAATCTCATGTGAAGAAAAAAAGGCAGGAGTTTGCAGAGCTACAATACCTGGTTAGGGCAAGAGATTTTTAAAAAAGGCAACATAAGGTCTTTCCTTTGGTTCATAGACAGTTTGTTTTGGGAGGGCCTGCTTTGTGCCAACTCCTGTAAATACAGAGCAGAATTAGAAATGACCGCTATCTTCAATATGCTCTCAGTCCAATTATTAAGTCTGAATAGAGGATTGTGGGAATTGACACTAGGCCCTTGTATGTGCAAAGCAAACTGTGGTAATGCAGAAGACTTCCACTTGATAGAGTTTAAAATTATTGAAGGAAAATGACCAAAAGCCCAGGCATTTTGGTGTATCTTAAGGTATTGGTGTTAAAATTAAGGGAATAAGACAATAAAAAATATGTATGCAGCAAGGCAAAACTCTTTGAGTATTTCTGTTTTAGTATTTGGAAAATAAGAAAAGGAAATTTGAAGAATGAGAGAGGAAGGGATAAATGGAGAATGGCTTCTTACTGCTGTTACAAACCTAAGTAGTAAGAAGCTATCTTTGTTCTTATTAGTCTATAAATGGAGGTTTCTTATTATATCTATGCCCTGTATTTGTATGCACATGTATTAGTTTTGTAATATGTGGAGTTTTTGCACTGTTATGCCTTTCTCAATGTGGTTTCTCAACTTTGAGATTTAGTTTCATTTAAATTCCATCCTTGATACTATTGGAACATCTAAGTTTCACTACATAAAACTTTCTTAGTAATTTAGCATTTTCCTGGTGCCATGAAGTGGGACATTATAACCATCTGTGGCTATATTGTAGCTGTAGATGTTGAAGATGTTTTAGAGGAAGTGATAGTCTAAATCATGTATTCAGTAAATGTTACACAAGTTTGGGTTAACCAGTTTTCTACTTTATAGAAGTAATTTTTGTTCTAAAGATAATAATATAAATAAGGATTTATATGACATTCCAAATTGTAGATATTTTGGTGATTGATTCAAAAACTTTCTTTTTCCTGTGTAGGACACCATTGCAGTGGCTAGATTTATTGTTTTTTTAGCTTCTTCATCTATAGGCAAAGATGATAAACCTTGCATATTTTTGAAAGCATTTGAAGACCTCAAATCAACTGTTTATGTAAGTATGTAGTTTTTATTCTCTAATTATATTGCAGATTTAATGAGCTACAGTGATGGAACTGCAAGTATTTCTGTTAATCTGCAGATAAACGACTTGGTCTGACTAAATTATTTTAATTGAATATTTTAAGTTTAAAAAATAGAAGTTTTTTCTTGGTTTTATGTTTAGAATGACTAGATAGAAAAGGGAATTCCTTTATAATACTTCCATAATTACTTATTAATAAATAAGTACTTATTAATACTTATTAATTAATACTTAGTGAAATAATAAATACTTAATAATGAAACTTACAAAACTGCACAGACATTCTAGACTGGATATTATTCTTTATAATTATACTATCAGGCACTTTGCTCTACCTGATTTCCCTTGAAATTAATCACCTACCCCTCTTTAGGTAAAACTGATTTTTTTCCTTCTATTTTATTCATTGTGAAGATGGCCTTCCTCTCCTTTCCTCTTTTAACGCCCTACTTTCCACACAGACACTTGAAAACTGCCTTTTTAGTCAAAACATTTTAGAGAGATATAAAATCTTCAGTAAGAAGAAAAATTTTCTAGGTAGAATTGGGCTAAACAATTACTAGGTAGAATTAGGCTAAGCCAAGTGCCTGCAGGCCAACACCTGCCTCTTTTTCTAGTACGCACAAAGGTACTATAAGTGCTGGCGGTGGCTGTGCTTGATATTAAAGTTAATGAATTAGGCTGGAGATGGGTAAAATTTGCAGTTAGAGTGATCACTGAAGCACTTCCTTATTTTTTTTGTTTTCTTTCTGAAAACGTCTAGGGTTCTATGCAGGAAAAATTTTGAATATCAGCTCTGATTTTCCACTTCTGTTGGACTGACAGAAGTTTGCATTATTTTACATTCTATCCTGAGAACTGAATATTGCTGTGCTTCAAATTTAATCTGTAAGAACACTAATATTTTAATAAAGTACATTTTCATTTGACCTTACATCTTTGCCTTTTTTTAAAGTTTCTGTAGCTTAGACAACTTTGCACATTTCACTCTTAATTTGTAAGCCATAACTTTATGTCATCCTAGTGAATTTGAATATTTTACAAGTAAGTGTGTACTTTTACTAAAAAACTAAAAGCCTGTAATCACATTGGAGGTTATCTGTGTACAAGTTTTTGTATATAAGTTCTTTCTTTTTTTCCTTCAGGTTTATGTCAAATCTGTAAGAGATTTTTCTACAGAATCAATGTCTTTGGTAAGATGATATTCAGTTTAATTTAGAATATTACACCTATACCCGTATATACCACACATACATAGATACATGTATATGTATATTCAGTCCACTTTGTGGTCTGATTTTGATACAGTATCAGTACACTGGAAAAACATCATCTTTACTTTTTTATAGCTGATAATGTTTTATCGGAGTGATATATTTTACCTAGTAATCAATATCTGAATATTCTGTTGTCTGGAATAATATCTGCTGATATTTTGTTTAAGTTATACATACACAAGAAAAATAAAGTAAGTTTTTACTGTATGAGGGTCCTTAAATTTTTGTTTTAAACCATAGGCAAATTTGTTTCTTTTTACATTAGCTTGTATTTAACCAGACAATTTTGTACTGAATTATATAATTGAACAAATTATATAATTTTAAGTTATTTTCTTATGATACATTTCTCTTTTTTTACCCATTTTTCCTGTTATTTTAAAGCATAGGTATAGCTAGAGCTTCCTCATAGCAATAGGAAGATTCCCATTCCCATTTTTACAGATAAGTCTACTTGTAGCTGAGTGAAACTGGAAAGAAGATATTAATAATTTATTAGTAGAGTTTAATATAATGTTTATGTTCTACTTATGTTTTTGAACCTTTAGTTTCAAATGGACAGAATTCAGGAACTGTTTCTAGTTGACAATGTCTATAGAATACAGATACTAAATTCTAAGTATTAGTATAATTAATATTTTTTGGGGGGGACTGTTACCAGTAAAAGAACTGATGTACTTTTTAAAAAATGTGAAGTAGCTCTGGTATTAGTATTTCCCAAAATTGTTATAGATTGTTTAATTTAAAATAGTTGATATATTTGTGAACCTGTAAATAAGGCAGGAATAGTAAAAGCCTCTGAACAATAAGTTAAATCAGGCATTGATCTATTTGACTTTATTTTCCTGACTCATCAAAAGATGCTCATTTGGCACATTTCCACATTTTAAAACTGAGTATGGATCTTGCAGTTGATATCGAGAAAACTGACAGTTATTGTTTTTGAGTTTCTTGTTTTCCTAAAAAAGTGTATTTTTTAGAGGATATAGTATTAAATGTGTAGTCTGTGAGGGCCAGGGTGTTTTTAGAATTTAGAAAATAAAATATTTTGTTTTTCAGTGGTAGAAAGTTTGCTTTTCAAGTGACTCAGGGTAATCATTTGATCTTGTACTGTCTTCAGGATTTAAAAGCTTTGTTAGCCCACTTATGTGGAATCTGAAGGCCCAACATAAACTATCCCCTATATTTTTATTCAACCTAGTCTTGTCATTACCTTTGACCAGTACACTCCAGCCATCCAAACCTCCTGGATTTTCAAACATACTGAATGTGTTTTCTCTGCTTGGAACACTGTTGCTTATCTCACTCCCAACTTCTGTACTTCATTTAATTAGTTCTTTCTTTAAATATCTTTTCAAAGAGACCTTCTAAGACAACTCTAAGACATCTTTCTGCTTTTATGGTTTGTTCTTCCATTGGTGCAGGGGCTATTTGTGTTTCGTTCACACTTATTTTTATTGCCCTGTATAATAAATGGCCCATCAATGAATGAATGAAAGAAGGACAGACTATAAAGGAATGAATGAGTTGAATTATGCTGCTAGGTGTCTTTCTCTCTTTAGGCTTTTATTGTCTGCTGTGCTTGATTTTTGTCCACTAGTTAACTTTCTGCCTATGGTGTGAATTGCATCTCATTTAACCCAGTGCTCACATTTTCTTGACTGATTGATTCCATAATGGGCTGCCACTTAAGCTATCAAAAAAAAAAAAAAAAATTGTTCATGTCTGTGTGAAATGTGGATCAAGTGATGTACTTAATGATAATGCCATCAGGTTATCTTTAGTATATCATGAGCCGATGGTTTTCTCATGGACATGTGCCTGTGCTGTGCAATACTGAGCAGTTAGCTGTGTGTGGCTATTAAAAATTCAGTTCATGATTTGCACTAGTCATTTAAATTCCTGAATAGCCACAATATTGATATAGAATATTTTCATTATCACAGAAGATTCTCTTGGATAGTGCTATTCTAGATTATTTAGTGAGCAATAAAAAAACCTCAACAAGTATTTTCGTAAGTACTAAATAGTTTTATTAACCTAGGAGTTGTTAGGATGCCATAAATATTATATGCCTGTTGTTTTAGATATTAGCCCTGTGCCTTTTGCACCAGCAGTGTGAAACTATTTTCAGACCTCTGATTACATGTTGCTAGTATGTGCTATCACTTCTCCTTGTTACTTGTCCTTCAAAATTTAGATTTTGTTGCCACCTTCAGAAAGCCTTTGCTTACCATTCTCTTAAGCTAACTCCACTATTTCTCTAGCTAACACATTTGTTCAAACTGATTTGGATGTCCCTCTACAGTCCTTTTTTATGGAATACAATAATTTATTGTGTCAGCAAGGGAGACCAATTCCCTACTAAGATAGGGCTTTTTGGGAATCATGTAAATTTAATTACCTTGTTCAAGTGTGAGCTTACTCAAGGGTATGTTAACCAAACTTGTAAGAATATTAACCTAACTCATTAGAGAATTATTAAGCAAAAATATCAATTTATGAATTTATAATGAGGATTATATCTTAGCTGTTGTACACATAAATACTTGCTGATTTATGTGGAAAGCCAAACAAGAAGTTATTTATTGGTAATGAATTAACAAATGGCAGTTACTTAGTTGATTATAATGGTTAGTGTCCTTGAGTTTTGCTGGCCTTTCCCATTCATCTCTCCATGAGATGTTAAGATAGAGTGTTGAGTGTACGCTAAGCACATGTTTTCTCCCTACTGTTCAGTATGCTTTTCTTCCATTATTTCTCTTTCCATTCCATTATTCTGTCATTCTTTTTTTAATCATTGATGAGCTAGCTAGCTTTTATATTGAAGTTTGATTAGATTAGCAAATTCTACTCTTTTGTTTAAACTGAGAAGCCTCCTTGGAAAAACTAATTAATTTGAGTTTAAAAATTTTAACTCTTAGAGTGATAGGTGTCCTTTTTTTCCATTTGATGTTGGGGCCACCTATCTAAAGCCCTTTAAGGCTTTTTTTTAGTATCACTGTTAATATGCAAACATATCCTTGTAAACCACTTTCCCTTTTCTTTCCCAACTTACTCACAGTTACTTCAAAAAATAATCTTTCGCTCTCATTATTATAGAGCAAAAGGAGCTCACTACCTGATGTGCTATAAGCCAATACTGTGAAATCGAATTTTTGAGAAAAGAAAAGCTGAAAGTCAGTCAGCACCTAAGGAGACACGAGCTGAACTCAAATATGTCTCCCTGTGCTGTCTTTAAGTCAGTGATTTTATTAGAAGAGTTTTAGAGAGTAGATACTCGGATTAGTAAGTCGTTCGTAGGACGAAAGGGGAGGTTTGGAAAGTCCTCGGGCATGCACAGTTATTTTTTCACATTAACGCATGGGTTGCATGCGCAAGTTCAGGTGGAGTTAGTATGATGAATGTGATGGAAATTCATACTGTGATGTCAGCAAGCTCGTTCTCAAATTCCAGTCAGCCATCTTGGTTTCAACTGATTTCAGATAGTTTGTTCTTGCTCTCAGCAATCAGTAGGAGTTTCAGTAGTATCTCAGCGAGTTGTTTCTTTTCTTATCTGATACTCTGCAAACTCAAGAATTTTTGTTAGTTGCTGATTTCAACTTTTCAGTAAGTTTTCATTTCTTATCTACTATACTGTAAGCCCGAGAATTTAGGCATTATTAGTTTTAATTCTTTGGGTTACAGTTTCATTATTATCATTTTAAATCTTTTTATACCATTTATGACTCAAAACCTAGCTTGAATTATGAGTCAAAATCTAGGCCTGTGGAAAATCTCTATAATAGCATGGGGGTAAAGGGAAGAGAGAAATTGTACCACAAGTTTTGAAGTGATATTAGTTAAAAAATAGAACCAAAATCTCTTAAATTGCATTTTTTAGAATTTGCTCTCTGTTAACAATTTGATTTCTTGTCCCCCAGCTACAGTTTCTTGACCAAATAAGCTGGGGATGTACTAACTTAAAGACAGCTAGAATGATTTAATTACTTAAAGATTCCTTGAGAGTGTCCTTAAAAAAAAAGTTTTCTAAACTTACAAGAGATGTAACTTGTATTGTTAAGACTAGTATTCTGGTTACCTTTTCAGGGCTTCTAAAAATATCTCATGCCTAGTCATTTACCTTTAATAAAACTCTCTTTTCTTAGACCTTTTACATTGAAGATGTACATATTTTAAAAAAGTATTTCTTGTTTTCTGTTATTGCTTCAGTTTTGATATGTATTTCTGGTATTTCACTACAGATGCTCCTTGATTTACAGTGAGGTTACATCCAGTAAACCCATCATAAGTCATAAATGTTATAAATACAAAATGCATTAAACAGCCTACTAGACCCATTCTAAAGTCAGAAGATTTTAAGTTGAACCATCATAAGTCAGGGACTGTATGTATATACTGTTTGCTACTTTTGTATTGGAGAAGTATAATGTTTTAATTAGATTATAGGTTATGCCTTTATGAGCTAGTGTGCAAATTGTACCATTTATAAACAAAGTTCTAAGGGAAACTAGTTGGATAAGCTAAGCTGTGTTCATTGCCTTTTTTTCAGGTTACAGCTTCTTTTAGACACTTAAAAGGATAAAATACAGTTGTATGGATTTGCTGCTAATATGATTATAACATGATCCTACAATGTAAATACTTACTATAAATGTATTCACTGTCTTCTCCTTCTTTAGGTTCCAGCAACAAATTATATATATACACCCCTGAATCAACTTAAGGGTGGTACAATTGTCAATGTCTACGGTGTTGTGAAGTTCTTTAAGCCTCCATATCTAAGCAAAGGAACTGGTAGGTATTAAAACTGGTGGAATTTTTATAGAGTAGAAATGCATTATTGATTTAGGAACACAGTTCCATCAGTACCCTAAGTCCTAGAATAGAAGCTCAGTTTTAACCTATAATTGCCAAACAACACTGATGCATATTCTTTGGCTAGTTTAATTTGTAAAATAAACATGATCTTTAGATTCTAGAGTCTAGTTAAAAACAGTAAGGAAAAAGAATGAAGCAAAGGATGCCAAACAGCAACGTGAAACCATATGAAAGTATAAAATTCACTGGTAAAGGTAAATATATAAACAAATGCAGAATACTGCGATTCTGTAACACTGATGCATAAATCACTTTTAATTCTGGTATAGAAGTTGAAAGGCAAATATATAAAAGGAGCTATAACTCTAGAAATATGTTAATGGATACATAGTATAAAAAGATGAAAAGCATGACATCAGTAACATAAAGTGTGTGGGGTAGAAGTAAAAGTGTAGAGTTTTTGTATGCAATTAAAGTTAAATTGTCAGGTTAAAGTAGATTGCTATAAATATTAGGTACTTTATGTAAACCCCATGGTAACCACAAAGAAAATACCTATAAAAGATACACAAAAGAAAATAAGAAGGGAATCAAAGCAGGTCATTACAAAAAAATGAAACACAAAGGAAGATAGCAAGAGAAGAAAATAGGGAATTAAGTGTCACAAGACAGATAGAAAACAATGAATTAAATGGCAATCGTAAGACCTTTCTAATCAATAACTAGTATTATTATAAATGAACTAAATCCCCTACTAAAAAAATCATAGAGCAGTTGAGTGCATTAAAAAAAACAAGATACAACTATATGCTTTCTACAAAAACTCACTTTAGATTTAAGGACACACATAGGCTAAGTCAAAGTGAAGGAATGAAGAAAGATATTTCTTGCAAATGGTAACCGAAAGAAGAGAAGTGGCCATAGTTACATCAGACAAAAGAGATTTTAAGTCAAAAACTGTCACAACAGGCAGTTTTGGAATATCATATAATGATGAAAGGGTTAATTCACCAAGAAAATATAACAATTATGTATGCTGCTAACATCAGAGCGCTTAATCCATGAAGCAGACATTTCAGAAGTGAAGGGAGAAATAGCAACACAGTTATAGTAGGAGATTTCATTTCACCACTTCTGGTAATGGGGGAGACAGTCCAGACAGAGATCAGTAAGGAAACGGAAAACTTGAATAACACTGTAGACCAAATGAACCTAACAGAATATTCTACCCAGCTAGAGCAGAGTATACATTTTTCTCAAGTGCACATGGAACATTCTCCAGCATAGATAACTTGTTAGGTCACAAAACAAGTGAATAAATTTAAGATAACAAGTATCTTTTCTGACTTCAGTAAAATCAAACTAGAAATCAATAGCAGGAGGAAAATAGTAAAATTTCGAAATGTGTGGATATTAAACAGTAAACTCTTGAACAATCAGTGAGCCAAAGAGGAAGTCAAAAAGGAAATTAGAAAATATCTTGAGACAGAAGTGAAAATACAGCATACCAAACATATGTGGTGTGGCAAAAGCAGTTTTAACAGGGAGATTTATAGCAAAAAGTATATATATTTAAGAAGCAGAAAGATCCCAAACAGGTTTACACCTCAAGGAACTAGAAAAAGAAGAACAAGCTGAACCCAAAATGAGAAGTAGGGCGAAAATAATAACGATCAAAACAGAAGTAAATGGAATAGAGAATAGTAACAATAGGGAAAATAATCAGTGAAACTCAGTTAATTTTTTTTGAAAAGATACATAGAACTGGCAGACTTTTACTTAGACTAAGAAGAAAATGAGAAGACTTAAATCAGAAATGAGAGTACTTTATAGCTGGTGCCACAGAAATACAAATCGTAAGAGACTACTATGAAAATTTATATGCCAACAAATTGGATAACCTAGAAGAAATAGATGATTTTCTAGAAATATAAAATCTGCCACAATTGAGTCATGAAAAAATTTTAAAAAAATGAACAGACCTGTACCTAGTAATGAGATTAAATCAGTAATCCAAACACCTCCCAAAATAGAGAAAAGTTGAGGACCAGATAGCTTTACTAAGGAATGCTACCAAACATTTAAAGAAGAATTAATGCCAATCCTTTAAAACTCTTCCAGAAAAATTGAAGAGAATGAAATATCTCCAAACCCATTTTATAAGACTGACTTTACCATAATAACAAAACCAAAGACTACAAAAATAGATGCAGAAATCCTCAGTAATATACTAGGTAACCACATTTAACAGCACATTAAAAGGATCATACACTATGACCAAGTTAAATATATCACTGTGTTGCAAGGATATTTCAACACAGAAAGCTAGTCAATGTGATACCTTAAGAAATGCAGGATAAAAATCACATGATTAGATAAGATGGCCAATTAGAGGTAGCTAGGAAGTTATCTTCCTGCCGAGGGAAACCAAAATATTCAGTAAACCAGATTTTTGAAGAGAAAACAAGAGTTTCTCTTATTGCATAGAGAGGCAATGCAGACACCAAGACTGAAGGGGAAGGAAGCTGGGAATTCTGTGCGTGGTTACCATGTGCCAGGGCTAGTTTCCAGCTTTGAACGGCTCTTAGAAAAGGGCAGAGTGAAGGGATGGCAGGGCAGCCCACTCTTGCCATTGACCTCTGGGATCCTAGCTACAAGAAATCTCACCATCTCCATGGACATTTGAACTCAGAGGGCAGGGGAATCTACCTGGAAAGTAGGCAGAGATAGAGCTGCAGCCTGTGTATATGTAGCTCAGGAGCTTTTACATATAGGACAGCTACAGTAGAATGTCACCATTGGTGTCCATGCCCAAAGGCTCTTCATCTTTTTCCAAGTAGCTCTAACCCAAGCTGACTGCTGGGCCAAGAGAGAGCAGGGTTGACCTCCCCATGGGACTGGAACATGTCTGTTCTTTAGGTCTGCCAGCCCTTCCCAAGGTCCCTGCCTGGCTGCTCCTGCAGGATCATGTATGCAGCACAGCCCCCATTACACAGCCTGGGTGATTTGCTGGTGACCCAGCCTGAATACTTTACTGGTGGTCTCGGAGCACTTTGAATCCCCCAGCACAGATGGTACCTGATCCTGAAGGGCCAGAGGATGGAGCTGCAGGCTGGTCCCAATGCCCCAGGGCTGCAACGTGCAGCTTGGCAGTGCTAACCTGATATCTGCAGCTGGTATGTGAGTGAGGGAGGAGCCCTCACTCTCAAAACAGTGAGAAAGGTGATGAGTTCATGGGGCCAGTGCAGAAGTGGAGCATCCCTTCCAACACAGGTGGTCTGGGAAGGGAGTAGCCTGTCTCCCAGCTGTGCCCTATGCCCAAGGAAGAAAGACCCATGACCCAGAATACCTAACAAAGGAGACATGGGCACAGTGCTAGTGATTGGTGGGGGCTCTCCTCAGGCCCAGGACTGATGGGAGCTCCCCTCAGGCCCAAGAGCAGACTTGGTGAAGGGGTCATCCCTGTTCCTTCCCAACATAGACCAGTGCTGTGAACTCACTGAAATACAAAGGCAGCGTAGCTGAATAAGAGGCTGTATGCTGTTACTTTTAAGCGCTGTGTATTGGGTTCCATCCCAAATTGCAAGACCAAAAATATTTTTCCAGCATATGTTGCCTATGAAATCCAGGACAAGAATCAAATAAAGATCCTATACAGAGTCTTGGTCCTCTAAAATAACCCAGAAATGAAACCAGTTGGATATACTCTACTCAAGCCACAGTTACAGATACACAAGCTCTTTCAGTTAAGAACCAGTGCAAGAACTCTGACAATCAAAAAGCCAGAGTGTCTTCATACCTCCAGGGAGCCTACTAGCTCCCCAGCAATAGTTCGTAGCCAGATTGAAATGGCTGAAATGACAGGCATAAAATTCAAAATCTGGATGACAAGGAAGCTCATCAAGACTCAAAGAAAGTTGAAACCCAACCCAAGAAATCTAAGGGATTCAGTATAATGATACAAGACCTGAAAGACGAAACAGTCATTTTAAGAAAGAACCAAACTGAACTTCCTGACATTGAAACATTTACAAGAATTTCGTGATATAGTCAGAAGCATTGACAGTATATTAGATCAAGATATGGAAAGAATCTCAGATCTCAAAGACCAGTTCTTCCAAACAACTCAGTCAGGCAAAAATAAATAAAACAGGATTTTTTTTTTAAGTGAATAAAGCCTCTGAGAAATAGATGTGTATTTGAAGAGACCAAACCTACAACTTACTGGCATTCCTGAGAGAGAAGGAGAGATAGTAAACAACTTGGAAAACATATTTGAGGATATAGTCTGAAAATTTCCCAATCTCACTAAAGAGGCTGACATGAAAATTCAAGAAATACAGAACAACCCTGGTGATACTAAGTAAGACAACCATCCCCAAGGTCAATGTGAAAGAAAAAAATCTTATAGGCAGTTAGAAAGAAGGGTCAGGTCATTTACAAAGAGAATCCCATCATTATGGCAGGGGAACTCTGAGCAGAAACCTTAGAGGCCGGAAGAGGTTTGGGGTCTATTTTCAGTATCCTTAAAAGAAATTTCAGTTAGGAATTTCGTATTCCACTAAATTAACCTTCATAAGTGAAGGAGAAATGAAATTCCTCTATCAGACAAGCAAATGGGAATTTGTTACAGCCAGATCAGCCTTACCAGAGATCCTTAAGGGAGTGCTAAACATGGAAACAAAAGTATACCTGCTATCATAAAAACACACTGAACACGTAGCACAGAGACACTATAATGCAAATGCACACTCAAGTCTACAAACGGCCATCTAACAGCATGATGACAGATTCAAAATCTCATGTATTAGTACTAATCTTGAATTTAAACAGTCTGAATGCACCCACTTAAAAGGCACTGAGGGGCAAGCTGGATAAAAACACAAGACCCAACTGTCTCCTGCCCTCAGGAGACCCATGTCACATGTGACATCACCCACAGGTTCAGTGAAAAAGATTGGATAAATATGTACCAT